CTTTCAGTTTAGGATGCTGTTCAAACTTCGCCATGCATGCTTTCAACATCACATCATCTTTCACACGTGACCAATCTGAGCGTACGGCAGATTTGTAAGTTCGAACGTAGAAGAACGCCTCTCGAGGTGTGGCAAGTTGTAGAACACATTTGTAATGATAATCATCCAAAAGAAATTTTTGAGCTTGAAAATAATGTTCAGTGGTTGGCCAAGTAAATCCGTCCAATTGGATATGAGCAAGATAAAAATTGCTAAACTCACCGTATGGCTCATTGCGACGATAGAAATGAATTGGTGCACTCGAATCAGTTGCCATGATCATATGGTAATGCAAGACGGCGATGGATATAGTTTTGACACGTTGCTTATTTTTGTCAAAACTCGTTCACAAAATGATTGCATTTTATAGGGACGTCTTGCGTGCTTTCCCGCTGCATGACGTTAGTAATTAAGACACATTGTGAAATAACACGGTGAATAGAGTCAACAAAGGCTTTGCAGAGAACTAAAATGTTCTCTTTCTATGCGTCATGTCAGAAAGCGATTAAGCATCGACAAAAAGCAACCAAACAGCAGAACACATTTCATTGGCATCGTCAGAACTCAGAAGGTAGCGATTCACATATTGTAGTCAAAAGACGACACTGTCATTAATGAGTTGAATATTTTTTCTTTTTCCACATCAATAGAATGACTCACTCAAGTAGCGTGTATGTGTGGTTATTTGGCAAGAATCTGACAAATTACATCTATCCTTCAAAACATATACACTACTCGACAAAAGTATCCCCCTCCTTGGATCTCAGTCACGATACAATCTGCTGAGCTGAAAGGGTGTGGGTGTTAGTGAAACGATATTTCAACCCCATACCCACAACCACCCACACCCACACTCAGGCTCACCCATCTCCACCCAGACCCACACCCGCACCCTGAGTGTGTGTTTGATCGTGACTGTTCGTGTGGGTGTGGCTCATGTGCCTTCTTGTTTTCAGCTGAAGCGCACCGAAATCACAGCGGGGCCGGGAAACGTTCGCTGCATCGGAAACTTCCTGCGACAACCACACCAGCGCTGGCATTCAGACGCACACATGCGCATAAACATCCAGCAGTACACTGTCGTCAAGTGTTCTGGAGAAATATGGTCGAATGCAGCATGCAATTTAGATGATGAGTATATTTGTTTGGTGAAGAAATCTATGGATTCTGAAACCTGTGTAAAAACAGGATTCAACGATAGTCGGCTTTATTTACAATACTTTCGTCTCCTTTATGAAGCGAAAAGTTTTGTTCCTCTGTGGGGCTCTTCTGTTTGTAGATAATTGAGTAGGTTTTGTTTGTATTCTCTGTTTCTCTAGCGATACGTTGAAAAGACGTATTTTGCGAGATGTATTTATAGTTATATATATAGTTGCGAATCATTCTAACTTGTGTGTTTCGATAGATCAAAAACACTGGGTTGCATTTTTTCTTTCATTCAACAAATATCGAAATCGTCGGATTTTCGACAACTATGGGACTGGACTTTGGAGGTTATGTAGCAGTTCATGTAGCTTTTGGTGTTTTTTTTCTGGTAATATCGTGGTTGCTTCTTTGGGCAAGTTCTCGGTATTGTCCTTGTCTTTACTGCTTTCTCAATGGTCGAATTTTTGGTATCAAAGTCACCTGTCAAACCGAGAAGAGCAGTGTCGTTGCCGAAAAAAAAATGCGAAGGTTGATCTCCACGTGCAAAGTACAAAGATAAAGGATGTTCACCATTTTAAAATAACAGTAGATGAGCGACCAATGAAATCATCGTCAGTATGTCAAGAATCTTTTCTGACTGGTATTGGTGGCATTACGTTCACAGTAGCACTGATGGCTCTTTTCGAAGGATGTATTCTCGGAAGTGCAGGTCTTAAAGCAGGAGATGAGTGTCCCAGCGACCCGATGACTTGTTATGCTTTCAGTAACTCTTCGGGCTCATCTCCGATAGGTGAGTTTAACTGCAGCCCAAGTGCTATTCCAACTTTTCCAATTGGTGCAACGCATGTATGGTGCTATGGATGGATCATTAAAAGAAATACAGTTAGCCGTGTTATTAATCAAATCGGTGTTTGTGGTGGTATTCTAGGAGTGATGGACACAGTCTTTGCATTTATGTTTCAAGTAAGCATATGCGTTGCAGTAATAATAATAGCACTTTCAGGATGCCTATTTCCTGCAATGGGCATTTTAGCTGGCACAAACACAGTGACTTTTTCTGTCTTGGCCTATATTGTTTGCTTTGCCTGCATCATCATTGGACTCGCAGGGTATGTATTCAATGCTCGCGAAGAGAGGACTGAAGCTCAAAAACAATCTCAGACGAATACCAACGTTATGGTCAAAGGTTTGTCTCCTGAAACTTCTCACTTGCATAAGACTACAAACAAGATCGTACCTGTTTCGACTTAACGTCTTGCTGATGAACTTTTTTCGCTTGATTCATGTAATACTGAAGTACTTTTCCTATACTTTCACTTCCGAATAGGCAGGGTATGGGTGTGAGTGAGGGTGTGCGTGTGTATGTAGGTGTACGGTGTAGGTGAGGGTTTTGAGTGTGGATGCGGATGTCAACGAAGAGCAATCTCTCACAAATAGCAACACTTCATACCAAAACCAACACTGATACAGTTTCATCGATACCGAATGAAATTTATGTTTGTTAGCTATTGTGTATTTTTCAACAACGACAATTACTAAACGTTCAACAGAAACCAATGTCGATGTGTGGGTGTGGGTGTGTCGGTGTGTGGGTGTGCGGTGTGGGTGTGTCGGTGTGGGTGTGTGGGTGTGCGGTGTGGGTGTGTCGGTGTGGGTGTGTGGGTGTGTGGGTGTGCGGTGTGGGTGTGTCGGTGCGGGTGTGTGGGTGTGCGGTGTGGGTGTGTAGGTGTGGGTGTGGGTGTGGGTGTGTGGTGTGGGTGTCAGAGTGGATGCGGGTGTGGGTGTGGATGTGGGTGTGGGTGTGGGTGGGTGTGGGTGGGTGTGGGTGGGTGTGGGTGGGTGT